AACTCCTTCCTTCCCCCCAACCCCTGACAACTATCAATCTGTTCTCTGTATCTATAAGCTTCTGTTTTGTTTTGTTTTTTAGATTCCACATAAGTGAGATCATATAGTATTTGTCCTTCTCTGTCTGACTTATTTCACTTAGCATAATGCCCTCAAGGTCCATACATGTTGTCACAAATGGCAAAATTTCATTTTTTATGGCTACATAATATTTGTGTGTGTTTGTGTTCCACATTTTCTTTAACCATTCATCCATCAGTGGACAGAAGTTATTTCCATATCATGACTATTGTAGATAATACTGCATTGGACATGATGGTGTGGAGAGGGGTGCTAGGGGTTTTTTTTAGGGTCCTTTGGATTATGGCAAGGAAAGATTCTGATGCCCTGATAGCGGGAGTATCTTTCAATGAAAGCAAAACAAATAGTTCATTAATTATTGTAGCACAGTAAAACTGTAGCTGTAGCTGCAGAATCAATGTTGGATATTATATATGTAATTTAAAACAAAACCTAAATTGGGTTTTGAAGGTCACAAAAATATAAATATACAATATTCAATCAAGTAGAAAATAAAAGGTTAACCACCTAATTAACGAAGGCATTATTTTTCCTGTAAGGATGTCTTATTTCTTTTTAGGTTTTTGCTTTGATCTCCAACCAGCCTTATTTGCTTGTTGTTCGGAACTTTTCAGTGGATACTGATTTGCTGAAAAGCAGATTTATGTTATTCCTTTTTCCTGAACATTATTTTATTATCTATATATTCCATAGTTTTAGCTCCAAGTTAGCTACCACTTAAACAATGAAAAAAAAAGCAAGGGAAATTGTTGGCAGTGCTAAGGCTTTGAAAGGTAAGAGCTTTGTATCTTTTTATGTAATTACTTCCTGTATTATGCAAATCAATTGCATTTTTACTTAGTTGGGTTAAACTAGGGCCTATAGGGCACAAATTGGGTCAAAGAAAGGGAAATAAAATTACAGTATCAGTCATGTCCCTATTTCTCAGGAGGTTTGTACAGTTTTTTTTTTAAATGTTTCATTTGAAATACATGTACTTCTCCAGTGAGACAAAAATCTTTTTTGTATACTATTCCCCTCTGATAGCTTCACATTTCAAATACTCTGAAACTAGTAAAGGAAACTACAAAAATCTATTGGCCCTGTGACCATGTCTTCTTGGAGTTTAGCTGTAATTGTGTTTTTGCATTTAAAGAGGGCTACAGTTCTTAGGTTTACCCCAAGATGGAGACCTAACAGTAGGGACCACAAAACCCAGAAATAAAACTCCATCCATAATACTTGTTGTCAGTCACGTTCCTATTTGGAAGGGTGTGGTTTATAATTCTAAAATTTTTTTAGAGTTAAAAGCAGAGAGATTTTAGTGTGATCTTGTACCCAGCTGAGGAATCTCTTCCACAAAACCACTAATAATTCAATAATGCAATGAACTAGTACCTGAAGAAGCAAAATTCCTCCTATCAGGGAAATGTTAATGCACCAGGAGACGTTTTTAGTGGGTTCAAATTGTTACAAGATGAAAAATAATAGTAGTAACAATAATAAACAGCTGATAATTCTGAGCACTTACTGTATGGCAGACATGGTGCTAATTGTTGGGAAACTGTTATTATTCATCCCATATTAGAGATGAGGGGAAAAAAAAAAAAGAGATGAGGAAATTCTCTGGATTCTCCAAGGTCATGTGGTTAGATGGTAGGAAAGCTGGATTCCGGCCCAAGTGCTAGAAACCAGAGCCTCTGATCTTAACCATCCTAGTGCATGCTTTCCTACTGAGCCCAAATCAGCCTTCTTAAATCCCTAGCCAATTAGTCTAAATTCTCCCTTTGTGGCCAACCAGAACATGTTTATACCTTTTCCCCATTCATTGAGGTAACAAAAAGAATATTAATCGAGCACCTCCTAGATGTTACTGTCCTCCAGTTTATAATACAGCAATCAAAAAAGGAAGGAAGTCTCTGCTTTCATGGTGTTAACACTCTCTCTTAAATGGTTTGAAAAGACCTACCAGATACCTAAGGGTTTTCCTTTCTTCAGACCGAATTTTCCTACTTCCTTCAACCATTTATCACAGGACAAAGTTTCAAATTCTTATTAATCCCAGCAGTGTCTCTCTTCTAAACACATTTCCGCTTGCAAACATGTCTTTTAAAACGTAACCATCAGACGTAAACACAGTAATCCACATGCTTTCTGATAGGTCTGTTAAAAGCAAGGCAACAGGCCCAGAATGGAGTCTGTTAGGCTAAGCCCCACACCACCAAATCAAGACTTACGTGCAGTTTCTGCTCTCCCAGAAATGGAATCTTAAATCAGTCAGTCAGGAATCCCCTGATCAGCACTAGTTACGTCATCTGCCTGACAGACCTCTGCTGTGCCCTAAAGGAAAGCGACCTTGCAATAACCAGCCCGCTCTTCTGCTTGTAAAGTAACGTCTTTGTGCCCCTCGGAGCTCCTTTCCGTCTGCCAGATTGGAGGCTGCTCCATTCGATTACATTTTTGTCCACATAGACTCTTGAAACTGTAATATGCCTCAAGTTTATCTTTTCATGGTTACGGAGACAGAAGAGGGAACCCAAGGCGCCCAGGAGCGACGAGCAGCCAGACGCAGGTACCTGCGGAGCCCCTGGAGCTCGCGGCTTCTCGCGGCTTCTCGCGGCCTCTCGCGGCCTCTCGCGGCCTCTCGCGGCCTCTCGCGGCCTCTCGCGGCCTCTCGCAGTTTCTCGCGGCTTCTCGCGGCCTCTCGCGGCCTCTCGCGGCCTCTGGAGGTCGGGGTACAGGGATCCCAGCCCTGCAGCTTTTACGTTAAAGCTCTTAGCTTTACTGGCGCACTTCTTTCTCTCAACTCGATCTAGGAACTGGCCGCAGTCCGACTGGGCACGACTTCAAAACCGGACCAAGTCGGGGTCACACTGGTTCCGGCTTCGAAACCTGACTGGGTCCCACGTCAGACCCGGTCCGACTGGGAACCTGAGCTGGGTCCAGGGAAGGGCTGGGTCCAGCTTGGAAAGGGGACGCAGTTCGGCGGGGACTGGGTCCGACTTGGAAGCAGGACCGAATTCAGGGTTGGACTGTGTCAGCTTCCAAAACCCTCTGGTTCCAGGGCCGGAATGGGTCCCGCGTGAGGCCTCCGGTGAGAATTTTCGTTTGAAGGCTGAACGAGCAGGTGAACCTCACCAAAGATAATCTTGAGTTACGGTGGCCCCAGTAAACTTGCATCGTAATAAGCCTATCCATTTATGAGGTGCCCTACAGAAAAAGGCGTCTCAGCCAAGCGCTCACCGTTGAGGGTTGAGGGAAAACTATTTTTTCCTCCCCTCAAGTACCTGGTGACCAGGCCGAGAACGCTGGGGTATCGCGCTCACTCCGGAGCCTGCAGAAGGGATCCTGGGGAAACTGGCCGAAGTGGACAAAGGGTAAGAATTCTTACCAAAGAAGCTCTTCTGTCTCTGTCTGTGGCGCCTGGTCCAAAGAGGAAGGTAAAATTTCTCTTTGTCCCTTCCTTTCCAAATACAGATTGGCAGGCAAACAAACAACTACCCCCCAAACAAAAAAAAACAACATTGGATCTTCCAATTGTGACTCATGAATTTGCTTTTAGATACCATTAGTTGTCGATCCTCTCCCTTCTTGTTTGTCTTGTTTTGTGTCTTGAGAACTTGGCCTGGCATCTGTCAGGTTGGCAGCTCCAGAAAATATGGCCAGGCGGAGAGGTGGGTTGCCTCTGTTTACCTTTTAACAGGTCAGAGAGAGGGAGCAGAACCACTGAAGGTAAACAATCTGGGTTTATGTATTCCTTCTACCTATAGCCTTCAAACCTCTTCTCTCCAGACCTGTAAAATGGTCCAATTAGACATGACAATTTCTAGCATTCAATTATTTAAATTCCGTTGACTGCGGCAAAGTTGTTTACTATTAAGGGTGCCCTTCAAGTGTCCTCTAGCATCACAGACGAGATGCAGGAAGCCATCTTGCATCCATAACTTCTGCTAGCATGGTATCTGGCGAGCTTTAGGCTCTGGTTTGGCTGTCACGCGGGAGACCACAGCATCCTCTAGTGGTCAGATTTAAGCTTCAAGACGTGAATATTCTGAACATGACAAGAAATTATCCTAAACCTTAAGAGTGTCAGGCAACTGTGTTGGGAAAGATTTTGATGCACCTGATACATCTCAGGTTTTTTTAGGCCTCCATCCGCTTCTCCCTTCTCGGCTAGTTCTTCATAAGGGCTCAAGAATTCAAGCTGCTTTTCCATCTCTTTTTTTAGTGATTATAGGTACTTTTTCTTTTGAGGTACTTCTTATTTCTACCTTATTTGCTGTCCCTACGCACATAGGTCTTTTAATATGAGGAAGCTACCTAAAGTTCCTATAGAAGAACTAGGCAAGGAATAATCCACCTCAGGTGATTGTGGTTTAGACGAAGCATTCGATTTTTGAGTCCACCCTGGATTAAAAACCTAACTCTGCTACCTTATTTGCCGGTGCTATTAGTCAGATTACTTAACTTTTCTACATCGACTCACAAGATAAGGATAACCTTACAGGGTTATTGTGGCTCACATATAAAGCCAAGTCAGCTACACAGAGTCCTCGTACAATAGATGCTCTATTAAATCCCAAGGCAACCTAAAGAAATTATTTCAGTCACGAAAGCTAACAGATAACATGTTTCTGGACTGAAAGTTTTCCAAGTATTCCTTCTGAAGCTAGTTTAATTCTCTGTGGGATTATTGTCCTCAGGATCAACTGGGTCCTGTCAGTTAATAACTGTAATCACATTTTCCTGAGACAGTAGTCAGTATGTGAGGAAGGGAATGGAGAAGGAAAAAGCATCATGATGGAAACCTTGTCCAACATTTCAGAATTGCTGTATTTTGCAAAATCTGGTCTATTCTGAGTTTGTGTCAGTCCCCTGACCCCAGTGTAATCAAACATGCCTTTGAGGAAAAAGCATACAGGAACAACAGGAAGTATTTAGATGCATTTTATTCAACAGTCAGGTCCGCTAGGCATTGTGGGGACCACAGGAGATTTTAGAACCTTGGTTCTCAGCAAGGTCCAGATTTTTGAATGAGGATAGGGATCTGGCGCTTCCTGTAGAAGAGAATGAAAAAAAAATCAGCTTGAACTTTGCTGACAAAAAAGTGACTATGGGAGAAAAACAATGAAAAAACATCAGCTTTATTTAAAATAGAAAGGTTTCAAATTTTTATTCCCATTTCCCTGCCTTTCATTCATGTATTCATTCACTTATTCATTAATCCATCAAATACTGACAGACACTCTTTCTTATATACACTAGGGATACAACAGAAAGGAAAAATGTCCTTACAGAGTTTACAGATCTACTGTGGCATTACAGTAAACCTCTGAAATCAATCTCTAATTCATTGTTGCTTCTTTTTCTCCTAATATCATTGTTCTAGCCACAAGGCATCCAGCTTAGCTGGTGCCTGGGCTACTACAGGATGTTCTAATTGATCTTTTGCCTTAGAACTCTGGGGTTTAATACCTGTGAGATCTCACAGAAGGAAATCATATCTATATCCTATCTGATACCTGCCAGGTCTGAGCATCCTCCCCTCCAGATAAAAACCTCTCTGCTCCCCAGGACACTACCTTTCCCAAACCAGTTTTCTTTTCTGTCAGTTAAATATTCCTAAATCCTGTAATTGTGCCTCATGAGGTTGTTTTCAGAGCTCTCTCTCTCTCTCTCTCTCTTTTTTAACCATCCTTTCTTTGAATATACTACTGGTTTATAAAAATTCTTCTATTTCTCTGTTACTTGAGGACACCTGACTTCCATATATCTATGCATGTATTTACCTGGACCTTGATGATTCTTCATTTTAAGAGTTTTTATTGTTTTCTTGTTCCATAAATATTATCCATGCATAATACTTGTCTGAGTTGTTTAGCATACATAGCACAAACATCTAAACACAGTACACAGGTTGACTTACCTTCTTTAGCTGTGTTGTCCAATATAGAAGACACCATCCCTATTTAGCTATTTAAATTCACATCAGTTAAAGTTATGTAATATTAAAAATTCAGTTTCTCAGTTGTACGAGCCACATTTTAAGTGCTGGTGGCAAGGCTAGTGGCTTCCATACTAGACAACACAGTTACAGAACATTTCCGTCTTTGCAGAAAGTTCTACTAGAGAGTGCTGGTCTATAGAACAGAATTTGCCAGTACAAATTCCCTGAGAAGACAGAGAAAAAAGTCCTTACCGATTATATCTGACAAGCACGTAATGATCAAGGAGATGCAAGCCTTTATCTACCCATCTCAAAACCCAACAACTAGGGTCAGAGCCTGGTTCTAGTTAACTCAACAAAGTATTTTTGGGGGGCTTTTAACGGGCAGTAGAGAGAAAGGCAGTATGGTACATTGTAAGTATTTTACACTAGGAAAAGCCACATTTTCTCTCTAGACCTGTTTTCTTTTTTTTTTTAAATCAATTAATTTATTTGAGAGAGAGTGAGAAGAGGCAGAGGGAGAGGATCTTCAAGCAGACCGACTTGGGCTCAGTCCCATGACTCATGAGATCATGACCTGAGCCAAAACCAAGAGCTGGACACTCAACTCACTGAGGCACCCAAGCACCCCTAGACCTGTTTTCTTATCTGAGAAATACAGGAAGAGAAGTTACAATTTCTGGCATTCAAATGTTCTTCCCATATTTAAATATTTTTGAGAAAAAAGAATGAGTAAGCAGGACAGGTAGGTTTTAAAGGCTAAGGGAGTGGGGTGTCTCAGCTGTATGCTCATATTTTTACAATATTTCATTCTAAACATTGGGCATTTTGGTCTTGGCACTTGGGAGTTTGCTAAATCTCAAGGCTATTATGTTGCTTTCTCCTCCCCTTGGATGGAAATATGATGTTTGACCTTTATGTCAACAGCCTAGGTCATGAGAAAATTAACAAGTGTTTTCCAGTCCTTTTACAAATCTTTAGTGTGGAAATAAATTCACCACAAAGCAGAACACCTAGTATTTTGGTTCTAAAACTTAAGGATATTAGATCTCTCTCCCTGGGGCCCTATTTCAACAGTCCTTGCTAACACTGAGGATTTTCTGAAGTGATTTAAAGCAGACCAAGAAGAGAGGTCATGTTATTGGGAATTTATACTACGGAATAATGGAAATGCGTGCAGTCATTTGAGTCTAAGTCAAAGTCGTTAATGCTAAATCAGTTCTAAGAATAACAGTTTTCTGGGCTACTTGTGGAATCTCTTTTATTTGTTTTGCTCATTCTACACCTTTATTTAACCTGGAATGCCTTTGCAGTGTTGCCAAAATTCAGAGCCCTGTTTAAATGACATCCTTTTCATGAATCCTTTCTTGACCCTTTTGGTACTAAGGAATCTGTGTCTCTCCTTCACTCCTGTGGTACTTTCCTCACACCTCATTTGATGGCACTTGTCCCAAGTTACCAGAAGCTTTCTTATTTGCACTTAAGACCTATTTTCTTTCACTCATAGGCACAAGGAAAGCAGAGGAAACCGGCACAATGCTGGGCACATGTTAGGTGTTCAGGAGCTGAGTAAAATAGAAAATTAGTGGCAGATCTGCTTCTCTCAGGGCCTGAGTTTGATTCCCAGCACCTACCTACGATCACTTCAGAAAATGAGATTCACTGAGGCTGGCTCTTATCTCCATAAAAGAATGTTACAAAAGTATGTTTTTGGTCACCTGATCCATATAATTCATATTTGCATTTTTGAGGGCTTTCATAAACACAATCATTACCATCACCAAGTATGATTTTTTTTCAAGATTTTATTTTTAAGTAGTCTCTACAGCCGACATGGGGCTCAAACTCACAACCGCAAGATCAGGAGTCACATGTTCTAGCAACTGAGCCAGCCAGACGCCCCTGTGATCTTTTAAACTTAGGTATTTTGGGTGTATTAGCTTTTTAAAAATCTAGACTATCTGTTGATTTGCTGTAAAGCATGGGTTTTTGTTATACAAGTGGTTTTTGAAAAATTAATTCAGAGAACCATTCAAACACTTTCCTCTATTCCACTATCCTTTCCTTAACACATTTATCTTGTACCATGTTATTAATACCTTCCTCCCTTTTGTTCAGATTTTTCTTCTTATTGGAGTGCCTCTCTCTCCTTTATGGCCTAAACAAAGCCTCCAAACTTTTCCAAATTGTAGCAGCATAATTAGTTGTTTTTAATATTGTGCTCTCAGAGTACTTTGCTCTTATTTCCACTGACTACACTGTATTAGCATTGAGTGTAACCAAACTGAGACTTGAAACATGTTGGACTTCCTTCTGTATCTCACAAATACTTAGTCTGGTACCTGACTTTAAAGCATAGTTGAAAGAGCAAGGATTTGGACCCACGTCTGTCACTTACTGCTGGTTGATCTTGAGCAAGTTACTTAAGCTCAGTCTCAATTTCTTCATGTGCATAATGGGTTTAGTATTCTCTGCCCCATAGATTTGTGAGTATTCAGTGCCTTGCCCAATGCCTGACACAATAAGTATTGTTTTGTATAACAACACACACACACACACACATAAACACATGCACATCTCTGTAGCTTATCATACCAGATATGTAATGAGAAAAAGGGATTGGGAATTATTTTTGGAAAGTCGAGATGTTTTGTTTCTCTCATGGTAAGATTGATGTTATTGGTATATTGATTGGAACTTAGAGGGATAAGATATATGAAAATTTGAAGACAACTAGCTTAAAAATATGTTTTAAAAGACATTCAAGTTTGTACTCACTTATTTTGAACACATAACACACATTCATTAGAATAAGTTTCTCCATCAGTCCCACAGACAGGATTATAGATCTTGGTACATGCAGTCGTTTCAGTGTTACATTTAGCCTAAAAATGGAATTAAACAGAATTATTTTCCATCGTTTAGCATTCTTTGAGTTTATAGCAAAATCTCTAAAAGGGTTTTCACTTCCTTAAGTTGGTTAGCTTAAAGATGGAAGCCCGGCGGTGATGGGGGGAGTGATACTGAGTGTCTGAGAGGAAGAATCCAAGGTTTCGAATCAGAATGCCTGATTGCATGTAATACCTCTGCTGTTTACAAGCTATAATATGCTGGCAAATCTCCTGGTGGCTCCGAGCCTCAGTCACTTCATCTGCACGATGGGAAGGATATTATCGCTTCCACACCTATCTCATGGTGGCGTTGTGAGGTTTAAATAAGGTGAGTAAGATCATGTTCCAGTTTGCAATGATGGCAGGTGCTGGTTCCTGTCAGGTCAGCCACACTGTGGGCATGTCTTCCTTGCCCACTGTGATCCAGTCACACTGCCCTTCTCTTAGTCATGTGACGACTTCAGGTGCTTTCTGCCCTGGGAGCCCTTGCACAGTCTGTTTCCTGGACATCAGTAAGAATGCTGTAGTTATTGGGATGTAGTTATGGGATGACTGTCATAGGCATGTGCTTTCATGTATTACTCTATTTAAATCTTACAACTATCCTATGACTTTTTTATTATACTCTTCTTCCAGTGAAGACAGTGAAGCACAAAGAGATTAAATCACCCAAGGCTACGCAGCTGGTAATTCCAGATCCAGGATTCAAACCCAGTTGGTCTAGGTCCTGAGCTTTGGCTCTTCACCACTTCAGTCTACTACTTTTACCCACCAGTTATATTTTGCTAACATTCTCTTATCCTTCATGGCTCAAAATATATCTCACTTAGGGGCACATTCTGTGATCTAACCAGGCTAGGTTCCAGATGGTACCTGAATTTCTTTAAACCCTTATCATTAGTGTAATAATTTATTTACTCATGCCCTTTTGGTTTGCCGTCTATCTCCTCACTATATATAAATGAAAAGGGACACTTCTCTTCCCTGGTCTTCAAATTTACCGCAGTTAATAAATTTATAAACCCAGAACAAAAAAAGAAAAGTTAGGTATAGAATATTTTTCTAGAGGAAGAACCTAGTTTATTATTTTCTTTTGCTCATTATAAATTAGAGCTTCACCTTGGGGATTGGGAGAACTTTATGCCAACATGGTCAAACTGGCTGTAAGGAGGAAGGCTGCTTGGGGGGAAGTTAAGAAGAATGCCCCCCCTCGAATCCTTGCCGTACCAGATAACCTCAGAACATTCAGAATGCCTTCACAGCAAGCATTATATGACGACATGGAAACTGCCTGTGTGTCGGTGCATTTGTCCTTCAGCATAAGACCCTGTGGGGCACTGCTGTCACGATCCACACTTAGCAGGTGAAGCCTCACTAGTACCACACACCCGTCCTGACTTCAGGGGAACTGAAATGTCACAGCTTGGCCGTGAGTTGAGTGGAGTAAATAGTTCTAGCCTGAGAGATAAAAAAGCACAAAGTTGTCTTTACCTCTCTTCCCACCAAGCCAGCTCTAGTGGTACCTAGAAAACATAAATGAGACATATGAGGTCAGGTACTGAGTGGGAGAAGCCGGGTCTGCTCTTATTTGCAATCTTCCACTTCCATTGAAGACTTCTCTGCTGGCCTCTTCTGCTCCCCACCTTTCTTCTTCTTCTCCTTCTCCTTCTCCTTCCCCTTCCCCTTCTTCTTCTTCTTCTTCTTCTTCTTCTTTCTTCTTCTTCTTCTTCTTCTTCTTCTTCTTCTTCTTCTTCTTCTTCTTCTTCTTCTTCTTCTGATTTATTTATTTATTTGAGAGAGAAGGAGAGAGCGCATGAACGCATGAACAGGGGGAAGGACAAAGGGAGATGGAGAGAATCCTCAAGTACACTCCCTGCTGAGCACTGAGCCTGATGCAGGGCAAGATTATGACCTGAGCCAAAATCAAGAGTCGGATGCTCAACCGACTGAGCCACCCAGGTGCCCCACCCAACCCCTTCTTATTTCTGCCTTCTCTCAAGGACATCCGACTGGTGCCCCATCACTTCCTGCCTACTGAAGCTTTAATAAAATGAAGCAGAAGTTTGATTATGACCAAAGTATCTCAATTGGGCATTTCATGATAGTTGACCTATGTCTTTTGAAAATAGAAGTGATTTACTTACTGCTTGAAATGTGTCAGGCGCAGAGCAAATATCTTCTGAATCTTCACTGCCTTCTCACAACTGGTTACTAGACCTTTGATCTTATAATTAGTGATGTAAGAAGTGTCAGTGTATAAACAAAGATGTGGAGAGTTTATATGAAAATTTGTGAAACAGTTACCACTAGCACCAGCCAGATCTTGTGACACAAAACTAACTTGCAATTACATGTAAGTCTTCTTTAGTAAGTAATGTTAAAAATAGAACTCTTTTGACATCTCACCATCAGTCCCCAAAGAGCTCTTTCCCTCTATTACATTACACTGTTTATTAGTCCAATTCACATTTCTTGAATTTACAGATAGGTACTTAAAATTGCCATGCTGCATTCCCTAGAAAATAACAGGTTTGTTGACGTTATGTAGGGGTTGGTGATCTTGAATGAGCTTATTGAAGGGAAGAGGAAGTAGCTTGATAGTATCCAAAGGAAGAAATTTTGGTGAGATTTGATTTTGATATTGACAATTTCTGAGGTGATCTAGGTAAGGAGGTAGCTCCTCCTAGCTAAATTTTATGAGAAGCAGCAAGGCATCTCTGGGTTTGAAGAAGCCCCCTGGAATAGGTCCCTGACCTTATTTCATTTCACTGGGACCAAAAGATCTGTCCAAGACTAGACTCTAAGTCTAGAATGTAATGAGCTCAGTAATGCAACACGTCAAAAAGGTTTTACTCAATCAGAAAAATATGCAAAGGCACCTACCAGATAAGCTCAACAGGGCCAAGGCACTAAGAAGAAAGATGCTCGTTACCTTCATGGCTGAAAGTTCGGTATGCAGACCTCAGTGGAAAACTGCACTGAACTTACCACTTCTCTTCAGAACCCCGGGACTGGAAGGGTTATATAGTTAGGTTAGCCGTCCAGGCGCCACCTCCTGCCCTGTCACAGATCTTTGGTTATTGATTGACTCCGTAACATAGCCTGGCCCCAAGTTTTGGGAATGTCACTTGCGTAAGAAAGATGAAAGAAACAGCACAGGCCTGCCATATGCAAGGCCAAGACTCTGTCAGAAAAGTTCTGGTGGTCGGTTAGTTGGTTCTCCCCCTAACTTCCTCTGTGACTATGGGGGGCCCCAGTGGCCTCATCCATAAGGTGAACTCAAAGGTCCCCTGTACTCTAGCTCTGGATATATAAATGGGTATGGATATCCAAAAATTGCTCTCTATTCTTTCTTCTTTTCCTCCAGCTTTTCCCTTTTTTTATTCTTCCTCTTTTCTTTTGTTCTGTCACTCATCCACAAAGCCCAAGGTAGCTGACAGAGAGACAGGTTAGAGTTAGAGAGGGGTCAGGTCCCTAAGGTGTGTATGTGTGCTCTAGGGCCAGACTGTGCTCACCAGACACTCACTAGCTCTGTGTTCTTGTACAGGTAGTTCATTCATGCTGTGCCTCCCTTTATTCATCTGGGATCTGAAATGATAAAAGCATTTAACTCAGAGTGTTTATCTTTCATTCAAGCATAAGTATTGTTCTACCACGTGTTATTGGGAGACAGTTCTCGATTCTGTTTTGTGTTTCTGCCTGTCTTCTGAGGAGAGGCACTGACTGCCTGCCTGTGCCTCAGTTGCTCTTTTCAAAAGTTTGTACAACAAATGGACTTGGAAAGCGGAATAGTGTTTCTCTCTGGAGCAAAGGGGAGGTTTGTTTCCTGTTCATTATAATAAAGATAATATCTCTCACCTGTGCAAAGATTAGGTGGGTGTGGTGCCCCTTAAAAAAGATTAGGGATTTTTAAAAAGCATGGCATCCTTCTTATGGAGCACAATGCACTTTCTCTGTAGGTACCACTTGGTCCTCATCATGTCACCCTGTAAAAACTGCGGCTTGGGAAACTGGATGACACTGGCACTCTGGTTATTGCTATTGAATAATTAAGTCCCTTGTCTCTGACTCAGCAGCCTGTGTCTTCTGCCAGCATCCCTTTAACTGTGGCAGGCTAACTTGTTAGCTTCCAGAAGGGTAAAATCTCAGATCCTCCCTGGTCTTGAACTGTGCTCATGTCTGTGGATACATCAGTGAGTAAAAATGACAGTCCCTGCCCTCAAGGAGCCTCCATTGCATTTTAGCTGGGGGAGACAGGCAGTAAGAAAGTCATCTGATAATTATAAAGCATATCAGATTATGATAAATATTATGGAGAAAAAGGATAAAAAGGATAATAAGGGTGCTGGAGGATCGGGAGATAGTTGTTATAGATTGGTCATTAAGTGACGTCTGAACAGAAACGTGAAGGAAGTGAAGAACTGAACCATGCAGATATCCAAGAACAGGCACTCCAGACAGAGAGAACAGTCAGGGCCCAGGCTCTTAGGCAAAAATTTGCCTGACCCGTTCGACAAACATCCAGGGTGATGGATAATCTGGCTGGAGCACGGTGCTGGAAGGACACCTAGGCAGTGCGGTAAAGGAAGCAGGGAGGCCTGGACAGTGAAGGGCTGGGTAGGCTGGAGTAAGGACTTTGGTTTGGAACCTGAGGGAAAGCCCTTAGAGCTGTGGTGCAGGAATGACAGGATATGGTGGTCATCCTAAAAGGTTATTTTACCTGCTTAAGACTTAAACTTGAAGACAAGGGCAGCAGCAGGAAAACCAGCTGCTGGGCTCCTGTACTAGTCCAACCAAGAACTGATGGTGGAAGAGGAAGGAAGAGGTTGACTCTATAGTTCAGGTGAACTTCATACATGTAAAGCGTTTGCAACAGTTTCTGGCACATGGTAAACACTTAGAAACATTGCCCATCACTATAATTTCATTGTCGTTATTTTTTCAGGATTTATAATGCCGTTCCATCTAACCGGAATGTTCTTCTTTACCCGTATGCATCGATGAATTCTTCCTCTGTCTTTACGGTTCACTTCAAATGTTGTTTCTTATTGGAAAACTTCTGCTCTTTCTGGGCTGCCATGGTGGTTGAATGCAACACATAACACACTGTTGAAACTGTGTATGATGGTTCCCCCATCTTCCATTTATGTCAACCTTCACCATCCTAGCTTCCTCCTGCCTCTCTACTGCCACTGAACTTCCTCTTGTTTTGGTCACTAATTCAAATCAATTCCATGGACAATTTTTCGGAACCCATGGTCTCTAATTCTTCACACTTGATCACACTCAATATCATTTCTTTTCTTTTTTTCTTTTTTTAGATTTTTTTACTTATTTGTGAGAGAGAGAGAGAGAGAGAGAGAGAGAGGGAGGGAGAGAGAAGGAGGTTGTGAGGGGGGGAGAGGGAGAGGGACAAACAGACTCCCCGCTGAGTGCAGAGCCCAATGTGGGGCTTGATCCAGGCTGCCGAGATCATGACCTGAGTGGAAATCAAGGGTCAGATGCTTAACCTACTGCTCCACCCAGGCGCCCCAAGATATAATTTCTTTTCTTGTGTTTCATGACTGCACAGTCCTCTGCATTTCTTCATTCCTTCTCCATTCTCATATCATCTTTGTCCTTCTTATTGACTCCTCTTCTTCTAATGAGTGAAGACTTGGGAGTTTCTCAAGTATTGGTCCTATGCCCTATTTATGTCTCACTTTTCATTTTCCTTAGGTAAACTCATTGATTCACATCATTTAAATTATATCTTTATAAAATCCCCAGATATGTATCTCTTTCCTAGACCTGCCTTTGGATCTTCAGACCAGATATTAAGAGCCTTCTTGAGGCTCTTTTGGACATCCTATGGGCACTTCAAATGTGACATGTCCCATAATACTACTTTGATCATTCACCACAAATACTTTTCTCTTCAGGCTCCCCTTTGCTTCTCTGCCTTCCAACAAGTTGGTTAAGCCAAAACCTAAGCGTTCCCCTTACTGCCTCTTTTTGCCCTTACCTTGTACCACCTCCAAGCTTAATTTGTTACCATGTTCTCTTCTTGAATCTGTATCCAAAATAACCTCAATGCTGAATGTTTCTCATAATTTTATACCAACATAGCAAAGATAATGGCATCATTGTCTGTGTCCCTCCCCGAGGGTAAATCTGGCCTTGAGAGGTGTTGATTAACTTTTGAAGTCCCCTTTGGCTTTCTGAAATTTCCTTCAAGACAGTATCTACTGTTATTTCTTCCTCAAAGCTACTCTCCACAGGAAAAAAAAAAAAATAGATTTTAGGTTTTAACCTTCAAGACTCGGGCTAAATATAATTTTCTCATGGAGCTGCTTTTCCAATTAGTTCCTTACTCTGTTCTGCATGTACGCTAGGGCTTGTTGTTATATTATTTCCTGATACCCTGCATCACTTAAATTTTTTCTGTGGCTGTTTATATGATTATTATGTAATATCCCTTTCCCTTTAGGGAGCAAATATGGTTGTTTTGTAACTGCAGTACCTCACCAAGTGCCTGGTTAAATAGAAAGTTCTGAATAAATATTTGCTGAAAACATGAATAAAGTAATACATGTGTATGCTTCTTTTCTTGAAGACCCAGATCTATGCCTTGTTCATTTCTGTGTCTCTTGCCTGCCACAGATAGTCACTTACTGGCTCACTCAGTCTTTTATTTATTCAGCCGTCATTATAATTCAGATGCCCATTGAGTTCCTCATATTTAAAAGCCCTGGCCTGACTGCTAGGGAAATAGATTTTGATTTCTGTGTTTATGGAGTTTAGGCTAAGCATTGATAGATACAGGTTGGGTGAGTAAGTTTTTTTTCTTTTCATAATTTATTTATTTTAATTTTTTATTTATTTATTTGACAGAGAGAGAGAGAGAGACAGCAAGAGAGGGAACACAAGCAGAGGGAGTGGGAGAGGGAGAAGTAGGCTTCCCGCCGAGCAGGGAGCCCGATGCGGGGCTCGATCCCAGGACCCTGGGACCATGACCCGAGCCGAAGGCAGATGCCCAACGACTGAGCCACCCAGGCGTCCCTCTTTTCATAATTTAAATAGCAGTTTGGTTGACAATAAGAAGGTTCTAAGAGCCACTGTAATGGGAGTTAATATTTGAGAGAAGGTATTTTTCTTTGGTTTCATAAGCAGTCTGAGGAGAAGGGAATTGGCTGGGATCTCATTGCAGGAATTCTTTAGGTAATGATACCAGCAGTAATAACATTCAGATTTAGACCTGTCTCATGCCAAACACTGGGCTCTTTGCACCGAACCTTGATTTTTAAACATTTTGACTGTGTATCCAAAGCAAGAAATAAATTTTGTGTTACAGCCTACATATGCGTAGACAAATTAAATTGTTAAGAAACAAAATATAGCCTTATTATATGGGATGACTCTTCGTGCCTTTTATTCTATTCTAGCTCATAATTCACCAGTTCTGACTTGCATTTTGAAAAACACTTAAGTACAGTAATACCCTGTGCCCTCATACAATCTTGTTTTCTTAATTGCTATAGAAATAGGATAAAATTCTAGTTAGAGACTAGTCCTAAAACTGTGGTGGGAAGTGGCTCTTTGGAGGCGGCAAGTTGAAGAGCACATGAAGGCACACCGGGTAGCAATTACGGGTCTGCCCTTGCAACTGCGATGTGACTCTGGGTAAATCCTCAGCTACCAAAGTGTGTGTCATGATATATTCATTTGGTGTGAAAAATAAACATAGAAAAGCAAATAAATACTGTGCAAAAATACTATCCTCCATTTCCCCTGGAATGATCATTACTAGCGGGTAATAACATGAGCCTTCCACTGATTGGAAATAAATGGGTAATATATTAAGGCTTTATATGATCACTATCTTGATAGAATAAATATTGTTTGCCTTAAGGGATGAGATGGGATAGGCATTGGCTGGAACAACTCTGCTACCCTGCTAGGCTGTTAGTCATATTTAGTGTGTCTACATGGCCTAGCCTTGTGTAAATCTGTCTGTCTTCTTTTCTTCTGTGTGTACATATTTATGTGTGCATGTCTTCAGGAACTCAGCAAACATTCTATGACCTACTCACCTCTGTTTCAAGGACTAATTATTCACCTGAATAAAGAATGATGACAAAACTTAAGAGGACTGTTCTAATGGTTGCTGATAATACTTGCTGGAATGGGGATGTTGCTTGAGCACCTGTTGATTTTCACATCCTGTGCCCAAGGTTTGACTGGTAAGAAAAATGACAGGAACTAGTGACATGGAGCCTAATACATTTAGCCTATATGTGAAGACCTCTGACTTAGCTGTATCTTAACTCTTCCATCTTATTTTTCATTATTCGTGGAACGTCATGACTTATTTTTTTTTGGAGAGATAGAGAGCACGTGGGCAGGGTGGGGGGAGGGAGAGAGTGAATATTAAGCATGCTCCAAGCCCCCAGCACAGAGCCCAACGTCTGGCTCCCTCTCAAGATGCTGACATCATGAACTGAGCCAGAATCAAGAGATGGATGCTTAACCAGCTGAGCCATCCAGGCGCCCCTATGTGCTGTTGAGTTCTGTCAACTCTGTAGTGGTCTCTTGTTTGTTTGTTAGTT